ATCTCTGCTGTATTGGACCACAGAGACACGGTCATTGTTAGGTCTACATTCATTTCTCCACACTCTCTTAACAAATCAAGCATGGCAGGGAAGCCATTCCGTGTGCCATCAGAACCATCCAGGAGGAAAACGATATCCTTTTTGGCAGTATCGACTGAGAAAAGACAGGAAGACATCAGGTGAATTTTTTTGCCAATCTACGCTGCTGGGCTAATCATCAAGTGGTGCAATTTTTATTTGATTTCTCTTTTTTGTTTTTCAGTCACCTAACGCTGGCTAATTTAATGTAAACAATGGGAGAAAACCTCCCCCTCATTTTGAAATGCGGCTACACAAATTTCACACTTATTTTCCTTGCCTCAGTGTAGGTCAAACAAATCATGTATCTATCAGGCCTGTAAGGGGCCATGCTTGTTAACATACCAGGAACAGGTGGTGATTCTGGGGAGACCTCGATAACCACAGCCTCCACGGAGGACTGAAGTTGTTGTTGGACATTGGGAAGGTCAGTGAATTCAGACACAGTTAGTGCATAGCTGGGGTCGTGGGATATCTTCTGCAGTTCTTTGCTATCAGCACTCCTGGTTCCAATTGCAAAGGTCAAGACACCCAGCTCTTTGAGAGCAGAGGCTGGTGCATCAACACTGTCAAAAGACCTTCCACCACTTATCAAAACTAGGACCTGTGGGACTCCTTCCTGGAGCCTGCTTCCAGCAGAGGCCGTGAAGACATTATCCCTCAAGTACTGGAGAGCTGCTCCAGTGTTGAGGGGTCTTCCACCTTTGTGCCTCAATCCTCTGACAGTGTCAAGGATGTCGCCTTTTGTGGTGTACGTGTTCAGATAGAATTGGGCAGCTGGCTCTTTGCTGTACTGAACCACTGAGACACGGTCTTTGTTGTCATCCACACTGAGTGTCTCTACAACTCTTTGGACAAAGTCTTTCACAGCTGGGAAGCCAGTTCTAGTACCATCAGATCCATCCAACAAGAACACAATATCTTTTCCTGCTGGCTGTCTCTCCACTAGGGAATAAAAAATGTCAGACATGTTCAGGTTCATGTGTCAAATGTTTTCCATGTGAAAGTCAGATGACCAAAGCTAACCTGGAATTTAACAATGTACTCTGTATAATCTGGAACAAATGTATTCTCAGAGTGCTGCTGGCTTGCCTCAGCTACAATAAATACACTGTCATACTGTTCAATTTGCATCCTACCATGACCTTGGAAAATAAAAATCTGTCACTTTCTTACCAGCTTTTGTTGGTGTGATGGGCGTGGCCCTGGTTAGCACTGTGTTCATTACAGAGGAGAGCTGTTCCTGGGCACTGGGGAGGTCAGTGAAATCAGACACTGATAGAGCAGAACTAGGGTCATATGATATCTTCTGCAGCTCCCTAGTGTCAGAGTTCCTTGTGCCAATGCCTATCACATAGACACCCTGCTGTTTGAGAGCAGAGGCTGGGGTATCTACATTGTCAAAAGACCTTCCACCATTTAGCAGGATCAACATTTGTGGAACACCTTGCAGGCGCCTGCTCCCGGAGGAGTTTGTAAAGGCGTTGTCCCTGACGTATTGGAGGGCCGCCCCGGTGTTGAGGGGTCTGCCTCCTCTATGTCTCAGCCCTCTGACTGTATCCAAAATATCCTGTCTTGTGGTGTATGTGTTCAGATAGAAATGGATCTCTGCATCTCTGCTGTATTGGACCACAGAGACACGGTCATTGTTAGGTCCTACATTCAATTTCTCCACCACTCTCTTAACAAAATCAAGCATGGCAGGGAAGCCATTCCGTGTGCCATCAGAACCATCCAGGAGGAAAACGATATCCTTTTTGGCAGTATCGACTGAGAAAAGACAGGAAGACATCAGGTGAATTTTTTTGCCAAATCTACGCTGCTGGGCTAATCATCAAGTGGTGCAATTTTTATTTGATTTCTCTTTTTTGTTTTTCAGTCACCTAACGCTGGCTAATTTAATGTAAACAATGGGAGAAAACCTCCCCCTCATTTTGAAATGCGGCTACACAAATTTCACACTTATTTTCCTTGCCTCAGTGTAGGTCAAACAAATCATGTGTCTATCAGGCCTGTAAGGGGCCATGCTTGTTAACATACCAGGAACAGGTGGTGATTCTGGGGAGACCTCGATAACCACAGCCTCCACGGAGGACTGAAGTTGTTGTTGGACATTGGGAAGGTCAGTGAATTCAGACACAGTTAGTGCATAGCTGGGGTCGTGGGATATCTTCTGCAGTTCTTTGCTATCAGCACTCCTGGTTCCAATTGCAAAGGTCAAGACACCCAGCTCTTTGAGAGCAGAGGCTGGTGCATCAACACTGTCAAAAGACCTTCCACCACTTATCAAAACTAGGACCTGTGGGACTCCTTCCTGGAGCCTGCTTCCAGCAGAGGCCGTGAAGACATTATCCCTCAAGTACTGGAGAGCTGCTCCAGTGTTGAGGGGTCTTCCACCTTTGTGCCTCAATCCTCTGACAGTGTCAAGGATGTCGCCTTTTGTGGTGTACGTGTTCAGATAGAATTGGGCAGCTGGCTCTTTGCTGTACTGAACCACTGAGACACGGTCTTTGTTGTCATCCACACTGAGTGTCTCTACAACTCTTTGGACAAAGTCTTTCACAGCTGGGAAGCCAGTTCTAGTACCATCAGATCCATCCAACAAGAACACAATATCTTTTCCTGCTGGCTGTCTCTCCACTAGGGAATAAAAAATGTCAGACATGTTCAGGTTCATGTGTCAAATGTTTTCCATGTGAAAGTCAGATGACCAAAGCTAACCTGGAATTTAACAATGTACTCTGTATAATCTGGAACAAATGTATTCTCAGAGTGCTGCTGGCTTGCCTCAGCTACAATAAATACACTGTCATACTGTTCAATTTGCATCCTACCATGACCTTGGAAAATAAAAATCTGTCACTTTCTTACCAGTTTTTGGTGTGATGGGCGTGGCCCTGGTTAGCACTGTGTTCATTACAGAGGAGAGCTGTTCCTGGGCACTGGGGAGGTCAGTGAAATCAGACACTGATAGAGCAGAACTAGGGTCATATGATATCTTCTGCAGCTCCCTAGTGTCAGAGTTCCTTGTGCCAATGCCTATCACATAGACACCCTGCTGTTTGAGAGCAGAGGCTGGGGTATCTACATTGTCAAAAGACCTTCCACCATTTAGCAGGATCAACATTTGTGGAACACCTTGCAGGCGCCTGCTCCCGGAGGAGTTTGTAAAGGCGTTGTCCCTGACGTATTGGAGGGCCGCCCCGGTGTTGAGGGGTCTGCCTCCTCTATGTCTCAGCCCTCTGACTGTATCCAAAATATCCTGTCTTGTGGTGTATGTGTTCAGATAGAAATGGATCTCTGCATCTCTGCTGTATTGGACCACAGAGACACGGTCATTGTTAGGTCCTACATTCAATTTCTCCACCACTCTCTTAACAAAATCAAGCATGGCAGGGAAGCCATTCCGTGTGCCATCAGAACCATCCAGGAGGAAAACGATATCCTTTTTGGCAGTATCGACTGAGAAAAGACAGGAAGACATCAGGTGAATTTTTTTGCCAAATCTACGCTGCTGGGCTAATCATCAAGTGGTGCAATTTTTATTTGATTTCTCTTTTTTTGTTTTTCAGTCACCTAACGCTGGCTAATTTAATGTAAACAATGGGAGAAAACCTCCCCCTCATTTTGAAATGCGGCTACACAAATTTCACACTTATTTTCCTTGCCTCAGTGTAGGTCAAACAAATCATGTGTCTATCAGGCCTGTAAGGGGCCATGCTTGTTAACATACCAGGAACAGGTGGTGATTCTGGGAGACCTCGATAACCACAGCCTCCACGGAGGACTGAAGTTGTTGTTGGACATTGGGAAGGTCAGTGAATTCAGACACAGTTAGTGCATAGCTGGGGTCGTGGGATATCTTCTGCAGTTCTTTGCTATCAGCACTCCTGGTTCCAATTGCAAAGGTCAAGACACCCAGCTCTTTGAGAGCAGAGGCTGGTGCATCAACACTGTCAAAAGACCTTCCACCACTTATCAAAACTAGGACCTGTGGGACTCCTTCCTGGAGCCTGCTTCCAGCAGAGGCCGTGAAGACATTATCCCTCAAGTACTGGAGAGCTGCTCCAGTGTTGAGGGGTCTTCCACCTTTGTGCCTCAATCCTCTGACAGTGTCAAGGATGTCGCCTTTTGTGGTGTACGTGTTCAGATAGAATTGGGCAGCTGGCTCTTTGCTGTACTGAACCACTGAGACACGGTCTTTGTTGTCATCCACACTGAGTGTCTCTACAACTCTTTGGACAAAGTCTTTCACAGCTGGGAAGCCAGTTCTAGTACCATCAGATCCATCCAACAAGAACACAATATCTTTTCCTGCTGGCTGTCTCTCCACTAGGGAATAAAAAATGTCAGACATGTTCAGGTTCATGTGTCAAATGTTTTCCATGTGAAAGTCAGATGACCAAAGCTAACCTGGAATTTAACAATGTACTCTGTATAATCTGGAACAAATGTATTCTCAGAGTGCTGCTGGCTTGCCTCAGCTACAATAAATACACTGTCATACTGTTCAATTTGCATCCTACCATGACCTTGGAAAATAAAAATCTGTCACTTTCTTACCAGCTTTTGTTGTGGTGATGGGCGTGGCCCTGGTTAGCACTGTGTTCATTACAGAGGAGAGCTGTTCCTGGGCACTGGGGAGGTCAGTGAAATCAGACACTGATAGAGCAGAACTAGGGTCATATGATATCTTCTGCAGCTCCCTAGTGTCAGAGTTCCTTGTGCCAATGCCTATCACATAGACACCCTGCTGTTTGAGAGCAGAGGCTGGGGTATCTACATTGTCAAAAGACCTTCCACCATTTAGCAGGATCAACATTTGTGGAACACCTTGCAGGCGCCTGCTCCCGGAGGAGTTTGTAAAGGCGTTGTCCCTGACGTATTGGAGGGCCGCCCGGTGTTGAGGGGTCTGCCTCCTCTATGTCTCAGCCCTCTGACTGTATCCAAAATATCCTGTCTTGTGGTGTATGTGTTCAGATAGAAATGGATCTCTGCATCTCTGCTGTATTGGACCACAGAGACACGGTCATTGTTAGGTCCTACATTCAATTTCTCCACCACTCTCTTAACAAAATCAAGCATGGCAGGGAAGCCATTCCGTGTGCCATCAGAACCATCCAGGAGGAAAACGATATCCTTTTTGGCAGTATCGACTGAGAAAAGACAGGAAGACATCAGGTGAATTTTTTTGCCAAATCTACGCTGCTGGGCTAATCATCAAGTGGTGCAATTTTTATTTGATTTCTCTTTTTTGTTTTTCAGTCACCTAACGCTGGCTAATTTAATGTAAACAATGGGAGAAAACCTCCCCCTCATTTTGAATGCGGCTACACAAATTTCACACTTATTTTCCTTGCCTCAGTGTAGGTCAAACAAATCATGTATCTATCAGGCCTGTAAGGGGCCATGCTTGTTAACATACCAGGAACAGGTGGTGATTCTGGGGAGACCTCGATAACCACAGCCTCCACGGAGGACTGAAGTTGTTGTTGGACATTGGGAAGGTCAGTGAATTCAGACACAGTTAGTGCATAGCTGGGGTCGTGGGATATCTTCTGCAGTTCTTTGCTATCAGCACTCCTGGTTCCAATTGCAAAGGTCAAGACACCCAGCTCTTTGAGAGCAGAGGCTGGTGCATCAACACTGTCAAAAGACCTTCCACCACTTATCAAAACTAGGACCTGTGGGACTCCTTCCTGGAGCCTGCTTCCAGCAGAGGCCGTGAAGACATTATCCCTCAAGTACTGGAGAGCTGCTCCAGTGTTGAGGGGTCTTCCACCTTTGTGCCTCAATCCTCTGACAGTGTCAAGGATGTCGCCTTTTGTGGTGTACGTGTTCAGATAGAATTGGGCAGCTGGCTCTTTGCTGTACTGAACCACTGAGACACGGTCTTTGTTGTCATCCACACTGAGTGTCTCTACAACTCTTTGGACAAAGTCTTTCACAGCTGGGAAGCCAGTTCTAGTACCATCAGATCCATCCAACAAGAACACAATATCTTTTCCTGCTGGCTGTCTCTCCACTAGGGAATAAAAAATGTCAGACATGTTCAGGTTCATGTGTCAAATGTTTTCCATGTGAAAGTCAGATGACCAAAGCTAACCTGGAATTTAACAATGTACTCTGTATAATCTGGAACAAATGTATTCTCAGAGTGCTGCTGGCTTGCCTCAGCTACAATAAATACACTGTCATACTGTTCAATTTGCATCCTACCATGACCTTGGAAAATAAAAATCTGTCACTTTCTTACCAGCTTTTGTTGGTGTGATGGGCGTGGCCCTGGTTAGCACTGTGTTCATTACAGAGGAGAGCTGTTCCTGGGCACTGGGGAGGTCAGTGAAATCAGACACTGATAGAGCAGAACTAGGGTCATATGATATCTTCTGCAGCTCCCTAGTGTCAGAGTTCCTTGTGCCAATGCCTATCACATAGACACCCTGCTGTTTGAGAGCAGAGGCTGGGTATCTACATTGTCAAAAGACCTTCCACCATTTAGCAGGATCAACATTTGTGGAACACCTTGCAGGCGCCTGCTCCCGGAGGAGTTTGTAAAGGCGTTGTCCCTGACGTATTGGAGGGCCGCCCCGGTGTTGAGGGGTCTGCCTCCTCTATGTCTCAGCCCTCTGACTGTATCCAAAATATCCTGTCTTGTGGTGTATGTGTTCAGATAGAAATGGATCTCTGCATCTCTGCTGTATTGGACCACAGAGACACGGTCATTGTTAGGTCCTACATTCAATTTCTCCACCACTCTCTTAACAAAATCAAGCATGGCAGGGAAGCCATTCCGTGTGCCATCAGAACCATCCAGGAGGAAAACGATATCCTTTTTGGCAGTATCGACTGAGAAAAGACAGGAAGACATCAGGTGAATTTTTTTGCCAAATCTACGCTGCTGGGCTAATCATCAAGTGGTGCAATTTTTATTTGATTTCTCTTTTTTTGTTTTTCAGTCACCTAACGCTGGCTAATTTAATGTAAACAATGGGAGAAAACCTCCCCCTCATTTTGAAATGCGGCTACACAAATTTCACACTTATTTTCCTTGCCTCAGTGTAGGTCAAACAAATCATGTCTATCAGGCCTGTAAGGGGCCATGCTTGTTAACATACCAGGAACAGGTGGTGATTCTGGGGAGACCTCGATAACCACAGCCTCCACGGAGGACTGAAGTTGTTGTTGGACATTGGGAAGGTCAGTGAATTCAGACACAGTTAGTGCATAGCTGGGGTCGTGGGATATCTTCTGCAGTTCTTTGCTATCAGCACTCCTGGTTCCAATTGCAAAGGTCAAGACCCAGCTCTTTGAGAGCAGAGGCTGGTGCATCAACACTGTCAAAGACCTTCCACCACTTATCAAAACTAGGACCTGTGGGACTCCTTCCTGGAGCCTGCTTCAGCAGAGGCCCGTGAAGACATTATCCCTCAAGTACTGGAGAGCTGCTCCAGTGTTGAGGGGTCTTCCACCTTTGTGCTCAATCCTCTGACAGTGTCAAGGATGTCGCCTTTTGTGGTGTACGTGTTCAGATAGAATTGGGCAGCTGGCTCTTTGCTGTACTGAACCACTGAGACACGGTCTTTGTTGTCATC